GAGAGACCTTCACAAAGAGTTAAAAAGGCCTGATGAAATCCTTACAATGTACACCATATGGCTTGACATTTACCAGATTAGTTAAACATTTCTACTGGGGATAAATATTCCTGCACATCGATGTAAAGAAATTGCATGAGACAAGGGCACATACAGCATATTTATGCCATGGAGTAATCGTTTTTTTTTCTTTTTTTTCTCCCTCCCTTCCCCTTGGCTAGCAGAATTCAGGTTACAGAGCATGAGAGGGACAAGTGTAGTACTAATTATAAATAAACCCCAATTCTGTGCACTCCTGAGCTGCTGGTGGAGTGGCTTCTAAAATCACCCCAAACATACCTCAAAAGGCTCCCCCTCAAAAAAAAGATTTGAATGAGCAATCTTGCTATAAAAAAATACCAAAACCCCAACTCTATGGAGAGGCTGAAGCATTAAAGTTTGTCAAAATCTATCTGAGCACTTGGATTGCCCGTGGAAGATGACTGTGATGGCTGCCAAAGTGATTTGAGCGGGTTAATGCAGAGGAGGTGACTGCTGGTGCCCGTGTCTGGTGCAGCCTGCCCCGCTCCTCGGTGAGCAGCCCTAAAGCCATAGATTTCATCTGATCTTTGCAAAGGCTAACATTTGTCTGCTGTCATTTTAGTGAGATTGATGACAGGCTGGGATGGGGAGGAGGAGGGGGAGCACAGCGGGAGGAAGGCTGATCCCCACAGCCCCGATAGCTGGGGCCAAGCCCATCCAGAGTTGCTATCCTGGGCCCTCTGGTCAGCTCTGGCAGTGGCAGGGAGTTCTTCCTGCACCACTCCAGCAGGAATTGCACGGTGTTGTTACAGGAGGTTGCAGGAACTTGGAGACAGGAAGGCAGCACTTCACACTTCATGTATCTTAATAGATTATTCGAGTCACAAGCAACACAGGGCAAAATGTTATGACAACCATAAGAATGTTGTTTACTGTGGCTTAATGTGGCTGGGCAGTGCAGGGTAAAGCTATCAAAAAATATTTTACTTTTTTTAAAGTTTCCAAGAGAAACTAAAAAATGTGGACATGCAGCTATTTTTATTCAAACCCCTGAATTTTGACAAACTCTTTCCAGGCTATTGCAGAAAAGGCTTGCTCCTTTTATTAGTAGTAGTACTATCCCAGTGCCAGACTAAAAATCAGACACCTTCCCGCTTGGAAGCTTTCTTGCAGGCTGATGTTATAGGGGAATCTTCTGCACGGGACAGATATCCCAAGCTGGGCAGCCAGTTGCTGGCTGCAGCATGTAATGTGCCTTGGAAAAAAATTAAGCTTTCACACCTGTGCAGGATGAATTCCATGTATCTTTTTCCATGAATGAATGAATGAATGACTATCAACGCTGACATTTGGTCTTACTTCAAAAACCTACAGATTTGTGTTTCATCAGGCACATGTACTATACATGGAGGGATCTCAGCACTTCTGGGAAAGAAATGCAGAGTCAATGGGTTACTGCCCTTGTGGAGAAATGCACCTGCAAATCCTTATCCCCATATTAGATTGGAAACCATTGAGGCAAGGGCTGGAAGCAGCCCTAGATCCTCTCTGGCAGCTGTAGGGGCGATGGGTGCATGAGCCAGTAACTCTTAACAAGCTGGAATTCAAAATATGCCTGACCTAAAACCTTGGGCTGGGACATGCACAGGCTTGGGGGAAAGCTCAGCTCCAATCCCTCATGTTGAGATTTACAGTGCCTTGACCAATGCCATGTGGATTTTAACCACCCAGTGTCCCATTACACCAAAATGGCATCATGTGAGGCCAGGGTTTCAGCTGCAGACAGGGAAAGATGCCATGGAGGATGTGAAAACAAGGTGTCTCCTTATTCTGGCTGGTCAGAGAAGAGCACAGACTCCCACCCGAGTGGGAGGGTGGCTTGGGTGATCATGGGTGGCTGTGTTGATAAAGAGTGAGCCAGAGAGATAAATACCTGTACCGAGGAAAATAAGAACAGATAATGGATTGGTGTAAGTCGCAGTATATTTCCTCCTGGTGATGAAGGGCTAACAGTGAGTTATAGATCTTTCCTCATGGTAAGAACATATTTCTTTCCAAATCATTTATCTATAAGATACTGAGATATTATTTTGTTCTGCATTGGTATTAATTGGGCTCTTTGCATTCCCACCCTGGCCTTTAGCAGGTGATAACATGGTGGGGACCCCAAAAGCTCCATCTGCACCTCCCATGAGGTGTTGCTTTTCGTGACTGGGAGCTGGGAAGAAAGAGGGAACGTTTATCCAGGTTTCTCAGGTGATGGTGATCTGGTTATTTATGCTTGACCAGAGTTCAAATCTTGCTTTGTTTAGGTCCTTAATGTACAAGAAGCATTCCTGAGAGTGTTATAAGATCTGTTACTGCTCTGGGACAGAATTAACTTTAAAAACCCACAAACATTTACACATTTGGGTGATACGACAGGTGTGTGCAAGGGCAGGAGACAGTGTGGGGAGAAAAAAAGCACCGTAGTTTTGTCAGCTGGGATAAATCAGAACACCAAATTTGATACTGAGGGGAAACAGCTTTTAAAATTTTAATTATGTTGTTCATAGTATTATTATTATTATTATTGAGTAGATAATTTTGTATAATTTAGCAAATGGCTGTTTCTCGGGCCCCTTTCCCCAGGACGGCACGTGCCTCACAGCCCTCACAGCCGTGTCACCATCTTGAGGCGAGGGTGGAAATGCTCGAGGCCGGGGAGAACAGCCAAAACAAGAGAAAAGCACAAATAAACTGGGGCCAGACAGCCTTTGGGGCTGTGGGATGAGGGGTTTGGGGATGGGCAGGTGCCATGTCCCAGTGTGAGGGCTGTGTGTGGGCAGAGCAGCTTGCGGGATAAGGGACTTGTGGTGTGTTTTCACCTGCTGTAACCCCAGCATTTGCTGTCTTGCTTAAACCTCTGCTTTTGGATCTTCAGAGAAACCTTTGCAGTGGTCAGTAAATCCTAATGTAGCACTTGCCCTGGTTTATGAGATTTCCAGGAGATTTGTCACTTGGTGGATCAAGCAGCTCTGAGGGCACAGGTTTGGGCTGATGGGAGAGGACTCCGCTGTCTCCATCTCGTTAAAATGAGCTTCAGGTTCAGTACATTAACGTGTTAATAAGGGAGCCCTGTGTTCCCACACTACTGTTAAAGGCGTTCTCACACTGCTGACCTGACCCCGTTAATCCTGGCTTTCCTGGAGGAATAGCTGATCCATCAGGCCTCCTGTACCTAAAATGAGATGAAATAGAGTGATAGGTCTATTTCAGTGCTTGTGTTTCTTAGGTACCTCAAGCAGCCTTGTTCTTTTTGTATTCATCGCTTATTTCCCTGGAAAGGAAAAAAAAATGGAAAAAAAAACCTCTCTAGATGTGAGGGCTCAAATCACTGAAGATGAGAAGCAGCAAAAGGAAATAAAGAGGTCAAACACCTAAGTTAGCTTATGATTAAAAAGAAATTAGTGGGGCTATTTTTAATTCGTTTAAATATATTACTTTCTATTAAAGAGGTCTTTATATTTTACTAAGTATGAGATGAAGTGTGTCACCAGAGGAAGATTATTTTCAGTTTTAGACCTTTTCTCTTCAAAACTTAGAAGTCCGCTGCCACTGAAGTCACAAATGCAGAGATAGCAGGAGTGGCAGCAGTGTGGGACTTTCCCTCTACAGTACACTGCAGTCACCTTCCAGTTGGGCTGGTTTGCAGGAAATCAGGGAAGAGAGACATGGACTGTGCATATCAGAGATGTTGTGGGGAGCTCTGTGGTACCACACATGCCCCCAAAAAATTCTCACCCTCAGAGTGTTGTGCAGCCTTGAGAGCCAAAACTCTGCGTCTCTGCCCTCAGACCCAGCCCAAGGTGTTGAGTCCCAGCCCAAGGCACTGCTGGGAACCCCATCAGAGGCTGGAATACATCTCATATCTGAGTTTAGTTGCCAGATCTTATGTCTTTTTTTGTTAAATCTGCTAGACTATGGATATTTTTGGGCTGCAGCTGACAGAAATTAGAAAGGATAGTTGTAAATGAAGTTTTGTAATGCCAGAAGTCTATGATGGAGCTTTTATAATCAGTGCAAAAGCTGAACGTTGATCTAAGTGTTCCAAGGCTTTCCATGAGATTCCTGGTTTTTCCATTTTTCTTTACTTTGTGTTGCTAAATGAAGTTCCTTGAGAATAAGCACAGCAACTGGGTGAGACTGCAAACCTGTGAAGGAAACACACCATAAGGGTTGAATAAAAATAATAAAATGTTTGGTTAGGAATTTGTCATAAAGCTCCAAAACTATGCATACACTCTCAGTCTCTCATTGTGTTCCCAGCTGGGAAGCCCGGCCAGAGTCACTGAACATTTCACCAAGTCTTGCTAACCTTCTGAGCTGAGTTGTGAGAAATTGTTCTTGACATCACATGAGCTGGGCCACAAGGCAGGACTAATGTGATATTTGCTGTTGAAGGTTTCCTAGGAAACATGCTACTTAGAGCACTCAGCCTTCCCTGCCACCCTTCCCACATCCTCCAACTTCCCTTGCTTCCACAGGTTTTTCAGGGGGCAGGGATGTACCCTCTGACCTCCGGACACCCTCAGCACAGACCTTCCCTCCTCCCAGTTGAGCAGAGAGGGGCTGTGGAGATTCTGAAGCTTACCCACCTAATTGCCCTTTTTTCTCTGATTTATCTCTCTTTTTTTTTTTTTTTTTTTTTTTTTTTTTTTTTTTTTTTTTTTTTTTTTTTTTTTTTTTTTTTTTTTTTTTTTTTTTTTTTTTTTTTTTNATCTCTTAGACTGTGAAAATTCCATTTCTACAAAGTAAAAAATATATCCACCTGCAAAATGTTTTCCCTGGTGAACAACGTCTTGTGAGTTTTCATGTCCAGTGGATTATTACAGCCCCTTGATGATCTTGGGAGGAATAATCCAACTTTTACCAATTTCATTTTGTCTGCACAAGGTTGTGGGGGTTTTTGGTGTGGGCTTTTTTTTTTTTTTTCTCAGCACTCTGCAGTGGGAGAAGTGAGAGAAACTATGCTACATCCTGCAAGACTGGACTGGAGGAAGTTTGAGCCTTCTCAGTGATCTTAAGCTTTTCTGCCTTGAGGGACTGGTGGAAGAAGGTTAGGAAAATCATCAGGTAACTTACAGCTCTTGCCACGTAATTTGCCAGCAGTTTGCAATGCATTAGCTGCTATGGTACATAACCCATAAGTGTTTTTCAGCAGAATGGAGTTCCCCAATTTCTTCCCCTGCTGTCCAGCCCAAACTTTTCAGCTTGGCCATTTGGAGCAGCAGGAGAGTTCCCATTGAGGATGGGATGAATGGGGTCGGTTCACACATGTTAACCAAATGCAAATCCTTAGATGGAAACTCATGGTCAGCTTTTTCCACTGCTATTTTCAGAGCTTCCACAAAAGACCGTGCTGTGATTATATGTATTCATGATATGTATATCATGTATTCAGCTCAAACAATATTTGAATGATGCATTTAGAATTCTTCCTAAAAAAGGACTATGCTTCTGTAAACTGCATCATCTTTGTAAAAAGAGGGGAGAAAAATCTAGCTTGCTTTTCCTTTCTTCATCTCTTTCTTTTTAATATATCATTTCATAAGGCTGTAAGAATTGGTGCTAATGCCGCATTACACACAGACACACTTCTACATAATCGTATGCATTTGCCTGTATTCCATACATAAACAACCCTATGGAATCCCAACTCTTCATTGTTAAGTTCATATTTTTCAAAGCAAAGCAAAGCAGCTCTGGGTGTCAAACAGTTGCTTTCTTCACTCTCCTTCATTGGGCTTTGTGGAAAATGCAGCCAAACAAATAACGCATTGGGAATTTTGAGGGTTGACTGGGTTTTTTGGTTTGTTATCAGATTTTTTTTTGTTTTGTCTTTTTTTTTTATCTTTTTGTCTTTATTTTTGATTTTGGTGGTGGTTGGTTGGATTTTTTTGTATGTTTTTTATATATTTATTTTGGTTTTTATACCTGGCCATTTATAACTACCTCTTTTCCCTCTTGTCTCCTCCACTGATAAAACCCCATTTTTATGACTGTCAACAAGTGTCTTTCACATTGCCAATATTGATTTCCCCAACCCCTGGAAGGCCCAGAATGTCACCTCCATGATGCTCCCTGGAGCCTCTGGCTTGGAAAACAGGAGTGCTCAGGTTGCTGGGCCAGACACTGGTTTCCCACACGTTGAAAAGGAGACAAGTAGCCCCAAGTCACTGGGCTGATTCATCTCTCTCCACAGTGCTGTTTCCTTCACCTCCCTACATGTCTGTGTAGGGAAGCTGTGTGGCCAATAAGCCCCACGTACCTTGTCTTAATAATCAAAGTGCAGAGGGTGGAAAAGAAATTCCATTTGGGATTATTTAGCTCTACTAAGTTTCTGGTGGCATCTTGAAGATGGGGGTGGCTTTTGGGCTGGCTTTTCAGTGTGCCTTCATGTTCAGGAGAGCAGTACCTGCTAGGCTCTGCAAAGCCAGTGCTGCCTCACCTGTAAATCTGGGCAGAATTGGGGTATTAGTGGCCAGAGAAGGAAAATCAGTAACACTCTTCTCTTTCTCTTCCAGTTCAGAAAAGATTCCTCCAGATGTGAAGTCTGATATCAGTCAGCTTCAGAGAAATAGCAGCAGCTGAGCTGAGGACCTGCAAGCGTCAGGTCTGTACCAGTCTCTTAGATCAAAATTTTTCTCTTCAGAATCACTTTTTCCTTGCATGGAATCATGATTTGCAACTCACCCTCTGCCTGCGAGATACCATTGTAAAGCCACATTGCTCATAGAAGGCAGAACCTTTCTATGGTATGAGAGGCTGTCCCACATGTGAGATACTGGTGGTCATCCAGACCATTTGTTGTTTTCAGTCCTTGTGGCACCATATGTAATGTGTATTGGGGCATGTTGTTAAACCCCACTGCCAGCTGAGGGAGGGAGGAAAGGAGACCTAAAACCACAGCTTGAGTTATTCTTGGAGACAGGACTGGAACTCGGCATATCCTGGACACCACCCTTCACTTCTCCCTCAGCTGGTATAATTAGCAGTGTCCTGGATCTCTCTCGTTCCCATGCAAGCACACATCTGAATGCATTTTTCTTTGAAATTGTCTGTCTTGGGGTCATTTGTGTTGTGCACTTCAGGCTGCTGATAATCTGTTGTCTGCAGTGAAATGCTCACTGGTACACTGTAAATCAGGAAGAGATGCAAAGGCATCAATTTGTTACTACTGATTCAATCTCTGTGGATTTCTGGAATGGGCTACCCGTCAAACTTTGGGAGCCAAGTCTCGAAAAAAACCCAATCCTTTTTGTCTCTTTAATTTTTTTGCACTTGGCTGCTAGCCTTGCAGACGGATGTCTTACATCCTTGAGATGAACTTAGTGCAGTCCTCATTGACCTAGCAAGCTACTTTTTCCTTGATGACAAGCTGGGATCACATTTTGTAATGACTGCTGCAAGATTGTCTTGTTAGGGAAAGGGCTAAGGTGGGATCGTCTTTAATGACAATGAAAGCACCTCATAAAACCTGATTCTTCGGTTTTACAGGCATGGCTGTAAGAATTTTAGCCAATGCAGACTTAGTAAATCAGTCAGTCAAAAATTATATCAGTTGAAGCATAATGTTCATGGCAGTCCAAAAACCTGAACATGTAGGTGATTTGGAGGGCATTTTGTTAACTCTTTAATTGGTCGTTTGAGTGCTGGAGGCAGTAGCTAATTGCCTGTAGGTCACAGTAGTCCTAGAGCTTAGGTAAATGTGTATTGTCATATGTCACATTTTCATATGGCTCCTTTGCACAGGTTGGTAAAAATGATTGCTGCATAATTAAAATTAAGACAAGGTGGGAAAAGTGATTCAATTAAACCCCTGAAGCCATTGCACAAATTATCTGAAGTACCAAAAACTAATGAATAGTTAAAACTAGTTTTATCTTTTTACTCTTCATCCCTGAATCCTGAGGGTATCAAAATGGCTGAAGTCTCTCTCAAAGTTCTCCGAGGTGAGGTGAGTTTTTGGGTGGGCCGTGCAAGTTTGAGTCAGCACAAAGGAATCCAGGCCTTTTAAAATACCAGCACACAGAAACTTTGTTACCTACTTGTTTGGAATTGAAAATAACCAGACCTTACGCACAAGAGACCTTTTGGTTTCTCCACCAGCCCAGAATTATTTTGAAAACATCTGCAATATTTCACTCTGCATGCAGTAGGTATTATATACCAGGGAGGGTGATGACAGTAATAATAAATGAGATATGTTGTAACCAAAACATCCCAAGTTTTACATCATACATTTCACAAGCCTAGCAAGCATCCTGTGCTCTGACTCGAAGGCTGAGGGCATGTGGTAGTTTTACAAATGTCCATTAGTATTAACAAGTATGTTCCATTATTAGACAGTGTGCCACTGCCCCAACCTCCCAGTGCAAGAGGTGAGTTAATATGGCTTATAAAATATAAGAGTGCTGCAGGCACAAACTGTGGAAATCAGAGCCCTGGCTAAGCAGGAGGTCTCATTACATTTTGTGGGACAACTTACTAGAGGGCTGAACATGAGCATTAAAGCTGCCTCCCAGCTAAGGCTTTTTATGGTTCCTGTCCTTTCACAGAGCCATATAGCTCCAGGAGGTTTAGAGCAGCAAGGCCTGCACCTTTGGATACTGGCAGTGTGCTAATTCTGACCACGTTTAAAATGAGAGAATTGAGATGGGTATGTTTGCACTTTGCTTTTTAACAGAATTGTTGGAGCCTGAAAGTAGCAGAGCACTGAGGAGTTGTGCTCTTGTTGCTTTTTGGGCTTGTCTTTAGTTTTTGTTTTGTTTTTTTTTTTCTTTTTTTCTTGCATGGCTCTGTGCTGGTAGCTGTAAACTCCCATTTCTTGGAAACAAGAGTGTTTCTTGGCCAGGTTTGCCAGCACTGTGTGTGTCTGCACAGAGAAGACCCAGTGTGTTGAAACTGTATAAAATAGTGCATCTTTCAAGGAAGTAAAGTCTGGTTGCTCTTCATTAGAACACATACTGCCCTGCAAGGTTCCTAAAATATGCCCTGGTAGGGACTGTCTCCTGCCATCCAAGTGAAGTGATCTCTAAATATTACCCTAGAGGGATGATGTGGATACATAAATGAGGAACACAGTACTTTTTTGTGCTTCCACCTTTTTGGAAGTGATTCTCACCCTGCATTTGAAGCAGTTAAAAACCTTCTTCTAATGCTTATCCAAACTTAATCAGAAACCTTAAATAGGAACTAATTTACTGTCACAGGTAGCATGTTCATCTTAGTACTAACTTTATCAAACCACAAGAATTCCCTGCTGAGGACCAGGGTGATTCAGGGAATAGGAGGTTATGAAAACATGATGATGTCAACTCACTAGATGAGTCTTTCATTTATGGGTAAAGCTTCTGTAGGTAGAAAAAATAAACCTTCCTAAAGATCTCTGTGGAACAAAACTCCAAGAAATGAGGAGAGCAGAGAAAAAAGAGAAAATACTGAAGCACAGGAGGTGTTCAAATCACGTGAGCTCTCTGCTTTCCCATGCTTCCTGGTGGAAAAGCAAACAGCCAGACATTGTCAGGAGTGTCCTAAAAAGTCAGAATGTGAGTGGACAAGTTGCAGTCTCCCCCTCAAAACATTTTTTTAGTCTTTTTTGATGTGTGTTCAGCCTAGACTGCTGGTAGTCAGAGACAAAATTTCCACTGCCTGTGATTCAAGAAAAACACTTCTTATGTCATTAAACAGAGTGCTTTTCTGTAGTCTTTTCTGTATGGTCTTGGCTTGAGACCACCCAAATGCCAGGTGAAGTAGTGCTTGGGGCAAGTCGAGTTTTCCTTCCACTCCAAGGCATAAGCAGCAGGCTGCAGCTGATTGCATAAATGCAGACTGATATTTCTAGGAGGCTACCAACAAAAAACAGGTTATGGGATGGGTTGTTGTGGATTGCACCAAGACAGGACTGAAATTCCTGCCATGTGTATAGGAATGTGGAAATGACCCAAGAGTGTTTGGGATGCCGTTGTGAATTTCACATGTGTGTATAGTAAAGTATTATGTTTGTAGAGATGTATATGGCAATACCATGCAGGACTAATATGAGACATAAAAGTTGTTAAAAGACATTATGTGACACATTCACAATTTTTCCTCGGGGTACAGAGAGTGAGTCGAGGTCATGGCACCAAATTCATCTTTCAGAAGTGCCTAATTTCACTGACTACGGAAGGCTTGGACCACTGCCCTGTATTTACTAAAAATCTATATTTTAAGTTATTAAAAATACCCCAATAGAATTTTGATCTGTTAATATAGACCTTTTCAAAGAAAAAATGCAAGCTTTTGCTACCAGCCAGGTCCATTCCCATGTCACACTCTGCAAATAACAACTGCATTAAAAAAATTTAAAACTTGGATTGAGGAATGCAGCCAGGGTTGCTGGTTGAGGAGCCAGGAGCACAACCCTTACCTGCTGGGCTTTGTGGAGAAGACCTACACTATCAAAGCTCTGGGAGGTAAAGGAATGCATTTACATTAGGGCTTTGAAGAAATTCTTTGAAAAGCCTCTGGAATTACAAATATGGTGAAACAGGCTTTCCACAGAGTTTCTGGAAATGCCCTGTGAGTCCCTGCTAGGTTCCCCTGAGAACTGAAGGAGGCAGCAGGAAGCTGGAAATGGCCTATTAAATTAGATAGGACAGGCTTTGGTGGTGGGTGGTGGGACCATGGCACTAGTGAGCAGCAGGATGTGCACATTGTGCTTCCTTTGGGGTGCATTTTCTGTGTTTTTAATACATGAGACAAACTTTGTTTCCAGTGAGTCTGGGGTCCCGCCATCCTCATGTAATCTCAGGGAACACACTCTTTGCTCACAATCATTCCATGTGCAAGGACCAAAAAGACTGCTTGAGGCAAGTGTTCCTGGGTCACTCCAAGCAAAGGTCAGGGATATGAGAGATTCCTTTGGCAGTGGGGTTGCCCAGGGATACGTCTGGAAGGCAAGGTCTGCTCTGCCATGCTATTACAGTGATGTTCCAGCTTTTCCAAGAGGAGAATGTTCTTTGTGTGTTCCCACCTTCTCCTGGCTTATACATGAGGTGACAGCAAGGCTGAAAAAACCCTGCTGGGTACCCAGAAAGGGACAAGGTTAATAATGACCAGCATGCAAAGAAAGAATAGACATGAATAGATTTGGATTGATTGCCTTAGACAACTTTATGGCTTTGTTTTCCTTCCTAAAGTATTTTTTTTTTTTTTTTTTTTTTGTTTTGTTTTTTGGTTTTTTTTAGTAAAATAAATCACACCTCATGAGATAGCACTATGCAAATATGTCAGAGTATTTTTGGTGGCTCACAATTAGCCTTGATAACCCAAAAGATGGAGGCTGGCATATGCCATGGGTAGAGTCAGGGATATTGTGCATCTTTATGTCTGTGGGCATGTGACAGGTTTCTTCAGTCAATTTCAGGCCAGGCTGAATTTAGCCACCTTGGCCTGGATATTATCCATGTGGCTAAAATTGCCAGATCATTTACCCTGGAAATTATTGCAGGGGTACACTGCCAAATGCACAATTGTATTGTTCCTTTGCTTCGTGCTGTTGGCTGTTAAATGTACCTCTGAGCCTTAAGCAAGCCTTGATTGAGTGTTTTTTGTTCACATGAAATTATA